GCAGCATTTCTTTCATTTATGTGAGGGAGAGCCATACCATCTTGGTTCAGTATAGCTGTGATATCATAACCCGTCACACAAGATATCCAGTTGTAAGACTTTTACCATCAGTGGTGGTAGAGTATGCAACTGGCAATGCCTTTGTTACAGGTTCGCTTCATCTCACAGCCCCAGTGGATTTTCTCACACATTTGAATACATGAAACAACTTTATTTGATACATTCCAAACCAAAGTACTGTACAGTACAGTAATTATCAAACCATCAAATGTGTGGGATAATCATAGTGCGCTAAATATCACTAACGTCGCCGATACAAGAACAAAAACGCATACGGCGAACAATATCAAAGGTATTGAATTTACCAAGAATTTTATCGAGGGACAATTGACAGTGAGGGATGGTCGGGAAGCAAGACACGTAAGTCATGGAAGTCAGGACATGTAGAGACAACGGTTTGGACAATAAGAAGCAGGGCAGCGCTCCATTAAGTGCCCGTGAGTTAAACATGTATGACCAATATACAACCTCGCCACAGCCGTTTCCCACCACCGGTTACGGTGGTAGGAGGAAGGCCACGGGAACACACTACTCTTAAGAGCACGCAATTTGTTACCAGTAACAGAAGACCAACAACCCTGACAACGGGCAAGAATGGGGAAATGAATAACTGGGTAAAAGTCATAATAAGGAATACCTTTACGGGAGATGGGACAGGTGCGGATAGCTTCCTTAGCGGCAGTGTCCGCACGCTCATTTAAGAACACACCAATATGGGTGGGAATCCAGCGAAATTCCACTGTCTTAAATCTAATGGAGATATGAAACAGCCAATGTTGAATATCAACTACCAAAGGATGGACTGGATTAAACGATTCTAGAGCCATGAGGGCACTGCAAGTGACAACTACAAACACAGAGGAGGATTGACAGCGAGAAAAGAGTTGATGAAGAGCATAGAGAACAGCATAAAGTTCTGCCATGAAGATGCTAGTCTCCGGAGGCAGGAGACACAAAGGTGCAGTCAGGAAAAACAACAGAGTAGCCTACACCGTCTGCAGACTTAAGACCCGTTGGTGAAGACGGAAATAGAGTGGAAGTGTCAAGAAAAGTGTTCAAGGAAAAGGTGATTTAGAACTGTAGGAGGGGTAAACGTTTTAGTCATGTGGGTCAAGGCTTACAGAATTTAGGAACGGGGACCCCTCCATAGGGGCAAAGACGGAATGACACGAGGGGAAATATTGGTAACACAAACTGAAAGAGCATTTTGTAAGAGAGACAACCGTACAGAAAGAGATAGGTGGTGAAGGGGAACAGGAACCAGAGGATAGGTAAAGGTCAAGGCATGACATAAGCAAGAGTGAGGGTGCTGTAAGGACCGTGCAAGGTGGAGAAGACAGTAGCGATCGTGGCGATCCTGTAGAAACAGGACGCCAGTTTCAATATACAGGCTTAGGGTAGGTGTCGAAGGAAAGGTACCAGAGCTGAGCCGTAACCCAGTATGATGCAGTGTGTCCAGATGGTGAAGGGTAGAAGGAGAAGCAGACGAGTAAACAGGGCCATAATCGAGTTTAGACAGAACGAGAGAGGAATGTAAAGAGAGGAGCAGTGTCGATTAGCTCCCCAAGAAGTATGGGACATGACCTAAAGTTAGTTAAGGGCCTTAGAGCATTCAACTCGGACGTAAAAAATATGGGGCGACAAAGACAAACGAGTGTCAAAGATTAGCCCTAAAAGCTTTAGCATATTCTTTGTACAAAAGGGGATGACCCCTGTTACCTAACAGAAAATAGGTACAGTATCTGGGAGTTAGCTGTTACAGGCTGCTTCCTAGGGGGGTGCGTGTGTGGGAGAAAAAAAATTTAGTAGTTAACCACTGAACTGCTCTGTCTCCAAATAACACCCTGGTGCACAAGAAATAAATTCTTTCCAAAATATTTTTTTTCTCTTCTTATATTGTTAAAATGCAGAGTCTGATCACGGGGAAACTAAACAAAAAATATTGTATGTGACTTACTTTAGCTGCGATGGAGCTGGGAAGTTGAGCAAATTATGGGTGCTGAGCGTTGGAGCGATGGGGTCTGTCGGCCCCGCCACCCCGTGCGACGGCAGTTGCTGCGAATAAAATGTTGCGCAATTATTTTGAAGTTTCTCATTCATTTCTTCTTTTTTTTTGCTGTAATATTATTTAAAAGTGTGTAATTTGTGGAAATAATATAATTCAAAGTATAGAACATCACTATGCTCAAAATTATGGGCCTCATATATGCGATATATTCTACAATCAAACAGAGTTTTTGCTGTTATTACACTATATACATACATTGTATATACCCATCTACGTATGTATTCACCATAACGATCCACTATGTTGGTATGGTGAGCCCAAAAAACATGAGTGAGCTGCCACACCCTGCCAGTCCTCCCTCCCTCCTCCAACACATTACTCGCCAACATTCCTCCTCCCAAAATACTGTCATTGTGTTTATTACACTATTTACACACGTTATGTATAAGTATGTACATGTTTTATTCATGTACATACGTACATACTTGCCATCTCCTCACCTCTCTCTCTTGCCTACTTAATGCTCTTGCTTCCCTCATCTCATCACAATCGACTTTATAATGGTCCAGGACGGATCGAAATGTCGTCGTCTATTCAATTTCCAGTGTGTGGTTTGGTCAACAATGAAATCTTCATGCAAGATCTTATAAAGAAAACCCCTAGAACGAGTTTTGCAGATACGAAAGAGTTTAAGGTGAGTAGGGGATGGTTTGAGAAATTTTGAAAAAAGACGTGGTATTCATAGTGTTGTGAGGCATGGTGAGGGTGCCAGCTCAGACAAAGTAGGGGCTGAAAGATTTGTTCGTGATTTTAAAGATTTTGTAGATACTGTATTGATGGATATATTCCACAACAAGTGTTTAATTGTGAGGAGACATGGCTATTCTGGAAAAAATTGACGAAGAGGACATACATTACCCAAGAGACGTCACTGCCCGGACACAAGCTAACTTGGGCTAACTTGTGTCAGGATAGGCTAACTCTTGTGCTGTGTGGCGATTTGAAAATTAAACCCTTGCTCGTGTATCATTCCGAAAATCCAAGAGTTTTAAAAAATATATAACGTGCAGAAAAACTGTGATGTAGAGTGGTTAATATTAGTGTTGCCATTAGCCACTCATTAGAGTGGCTAATGAACCAATGACATGAAGGAGGAGTTTTCAATCTACCTTGTGTTAGGTGTGCAGGGGTCAATAGGCTGAACATAATGTCAGGAGCAAAGGGGGGCGTTTGCCTCTTCAAACACAATTGTGACCATCTTTATCTCTTCGAACTATCCCAAATGCTCTCTTCACCTGTCTGACCAAATTGGGTGTCCAGACCACCTTTGAATCTGAAATTGTAAAATTAATAGTGATTTCAGAATATTCAGTCCATTTATACTAACAAAATTATATACAGTATACTGTAATTGAAATTTTACAGAATGATAAAGGCAATTTAGTAACTTTGTTAAAATGCACATGGGGGAAATACATGAAAATAGGTTAATATTGTTTGTAAGGTTGATGGGAAATGTTTATTACTTTTATGATTTAAAAGATGTATAGCCCTGATCCTCCATCCTGGGTGCATTCCACCAGGTAATGACCACAGCAAATGTTTTCCACGAGGCTCTATTGTCACACAAACTTTTCACATTTTCAAACTTGATTCATCTTTTTCCCCCTCGTTCCAGGGGGTTTCTTTAAAAGGTCTTCATGCAAATGCCTTGGTTTCTCACAAATGATGGCCTCTGAAATGCTATCACCTGCTAACTCTTTGTTGTGTATCCAAATTAATATAAACTTTTCAACATCCTCAAGTGTTTGTGTTCTTTGTTTCGGGATTGTTGATATGCCTTTTGCCACTTTAGCGCTCATAATGTCCTTTTTCTTAGCAAGTATAGTGCATATTGTTGACAGCTTTGTTGTACTGCCTAGCTAGTTCAACAACCTGTGCACCATTTTGATGTTTATGAATGCTCTCTTGTTTTTCCTCTATGGTCATTCTCACATGTGTTTTCTTGGCTTGAACCTTACCACTGGCTTTCTTGGGACTCATGGCAAGATATATAATAACAAATTTTATGTTCAAATAGCCAAAAATCCCAAAACAAATGTAATGCTTTATAAAGAATTTAGGCGCGATAGTTACTAGGCAGGAGACACTGGTAAACTGAGGTGCGATCACCATGCCACCACGCGCTAGGTCAGCCCATACGCATATCAACAAACTCATTTCCCGAGGCAAAGTTTGTAACCCGATTCAAATTTTTCGAAGAAATTAGGCTCGTAACCCGAAAAGTTCATAAATATTCATTTGTAAGCCGAGGTGACACTATATATAAGTAAAAAATTAAAATTTTGTAGATACACTGTGCTGTATTGATGGATACATTCCACAACAAGTGTTTAATTGTGAGGAGACATAGCTATTCTGGAAAAAATTGCCGAAGAGGACATACATTACCCAAGAGGAGACGTCACTGCCCGGACACAAGCTAACTTGGGCTAACTTGTGTCAGGATAGGCTAACTCTTGTGCTGTGTGGCGATTTGAAAATTAAATCCTTGCTCGTGTATCATTCCGAAAATCCAAGAGTTTTAAAAATATATAACGTGCAGAAAAACTGTGATGTGGAGTGGTTTGCCCTGCCATCAAAAAATATCTGCAAGAGAAAAGTTTGACACTCAAGGTCCTGCTTCTCGACAATGCTCCTGCTCATCCTCCAGACTTGGAGGATGCATTGTTGGGGCCACTTTTTTTTTTTTTTAGGGATATTCCTACATGAGCCCTGAGTTTCTGGCTAATGTACCAATGACATGAAGGAGGAGTTTTCAACCTACCTTGTGTTAGGTGTGCAGAGGTCAATGGTTGAACATAATGTCAGGAGCAATGGGGGGCGTTTGCCTCTTCGAACACAATTGCGACCATCTTCATCTCTTCGAACTATCCTAAATGCTCTCTTCACCTGTCTGACCAAATTGGGTGTCCAGACCACCTTTGAATCTGAAATGATGAGAATGACAGTAACTAGTGACTACACTTGATACCGGTCATGTTCTTATATGTTATTGGAAAAATTATATATTTAAAGTTCCTGTAATTTTTGTGGTTTCATTCACTGATGAAGCATAGTATAAAAACATATGCTAATATCCAGTTTTCCTGTATTAATTTGTCCCTATCATTCAACATTTTACACTGCCTTTTCACAGTAACAAAGTAATCAACTGTAGCACACATTAAGTAATGAAATCAAATATTGCCCCGATACACTTCAACTCTCCCATGCACCTTTACATTCCCCCTTACTTTCCCATTCCCTACTTACACACTTCCACTGCTTCAGCCAACACCACAGGACCCGAACACCCTACACGATACATACATCTAAAGCTTAAACAAGAGCTGAAACCATTGTAAAGAAAAACAGGAAAGCTAAAGCACAAACAAATATCTAAACAAAATATTTATTTAAACATGGATAGTTAAGAAACAGAGCAGAAGCCAAAATTCTCATACCAGACTGAAGAAATATAAATAGAACAAAAAGCAATACAAGAGTTATGAAAAAATCTTTTTTTTTTCTTTTTTTTTTACATATGCAAAATCAAACCCTCCACAAGTGTTGGACCTATACTTATACAAGAAGGCTCATACATAGAGGATGACAACAAAATAAGTGAAAAACTGAACAAAAGCTATGTCTGCAACATGAAGGTTGAAAATAGACTGGTTCAACCAATGACGAGTGGACATCTGCTCTGCCTGGAAGCGGATGGAACATGTGATGTGATTTTACCATTGGGTTTTTATATTACCATCTGGAATTCCTACTCAACAGTCCAGAGTATTACCATTTACCGTTTGGTTTTTTATCGTTTCTCTCAGGAAAGTTGATAGATATTTTCCATTTTCTGGCTGGTTCTTCAAGTGGGGAGATGGTGTCCGGCATTGGTTTGGCCGAGATATCAGGAGTTGGTGGGTCTTGGTGGGCTTCTGGTCTGCCCTCAGGGTATGGTGAGTGGCTGGCTCCTACTCTGCTGAAGGTCACTGGAAAACATTTTTGCATTTACCCAGTGTTCTCAGTTGGTAGCCACTAAGAACACATACTGTATGTGTTATACTAGACCTAGGAATATTTAAGTTTGATTTTAGCTTTACTTTTCCCAGAGACTGTAAAATTAATAATACACAAAGTGGTTTAATGTGGTCCATGACTACATATTGATATTTTCTACCAAATAGTTACCATTAGTACTATCCTTTCAGTATACTAGTATGTATGTAATTACCCAAGTGTAGTTACAACATGAGAGCTACACTCAAGGTGTCCCGTTTTAACAGTACAGTACTCTTTGTCGTATAATGCTTTGAAACTACTAACAGTTTTGGTCTCCGCCACTTTCTCACCTAACTTGCTCCAACCGTCTACTACTCTGCAGAAGAAAACTTTCTAATATTTTTTCATCACCTGTGTTTCCTCAGTTTGTTTGAATATGTGACCTCTTGTTCTAGAAGTTGCGGGTTTCAGGAATTCCCTTATATCAATTTGGTCAATTCCTGTTATTTTGTAAGTGGTGATCATATCACCTCTTTTTCTCCTATCTTCTAGCTTTGGCATATTAAATGCCTCTAGCCTCTCCTCGTAACTCTTGTTTTTCAGGTCCGTTAACCATTTTGTGACATGCCTTTACACCTTTACTGGTTTATTAATGTGTTTCTTAAGATATGGGCATTATACAATTGCTGCATATTCGATTTTTGTGTGTGTGTTGGTTTGCATTTTTGTACCATTTAACATGCTTGCCTACCCTCCCCCCCCCCCCCCAACACCTTGAAGAAAAGGAATTGATTTCTTCTTCGTTCCTGCTCACATTTAGACGTTTTTCTACGACGAGGTTCAGTACATAGTTATTAAAGTTTGCTGCAAATATGTGCAGTTTCGATCATTACGTGATGGCCTTCATAAATGCTACATAAAAGGTTCATTAAGGTAACTATCAGAAGCCATAGCTCAGGCTCTATGCTGGATTGCATTCAGTATATATGGGATTTGTATGACAGTCGACTTATTACTAATATATAAGACATATATATCCATATTATACATTTAATGACTCGTATAAGACTCGAGACATTACCTTTATGCTTTGGCGTTGATTTTTCTTATTTCTGCTAATGTGAAATTTGAATAGTCTTTACCAGCTGATTTGTGTTGTTGTCCAGAGAGGTCCCCGCCTCCGATACTCTTAAGGAGGCTTTGTACTCAATTCAAATAGAAGTCTCCATTAAAATACGTTGTAAAATATATATATTTACTATATTAATATATTTAATCAACACAAAATTATATTTTCTAAATGTAAATTGCATCTAAGATATACTTTATTTTATTGCACTGGGATTGTGTGGTCAAAGACAGAGTCGCTGGCCAAACATGTGGCTTGTTCTAGCAATACATGTCATCATCGTTTTCATGGATTTATAAACTTTTTAAACTTACTTATGTTTTTTTCTGTTAAGAATAAATATAAATACTAAATAAATAAAGAATTAATTTATGTTAAAATAGGAAATATCTTCAGAGATCAGCGGGTTTTTAAGTCAAAGTCACTTCCGATTGGTGAACGCGTCGTATGCAAGATGTTTGCATCATTCAGCACCAACATTATAATGAGTAAATATATCATATTTATTTATTACTAACATATTGCCAGGAAGCTTAGTGAAGCTTGTGTAGCTTGCGGTAATTAGACGGACCAAGTTCATTTATTTGTCAGTCCCCGTTGTGTAGTGGTAAGACACTCGCCTGGTGTTTCACGAGCAGTTTGTCCCGAGTTCGTTTTAGATATGTAGAGAGTACATTATGACAATAATATACTCGCTACATAACTCCCCCTTCCAGGGAGTGAAAGAAAATAAATACAACACAAATACGAGTCATAAGAGTTGTGACACGAGGCATAATATACTCGCTACAGGTACATTAAGATAGGTTTGTTTAAATGGTCGCAGTGATGCAGTTTGACTAGACTTGGAGGTGGTGTTGCAGTCGATCTCCCTTCTTTCTGTCCATTCTCCCTTCCTTCTTCTTTCTGTCCTTCATTTCTGTCCATTCTCCCTTCTTTCTTCTTTCTGTCCATTTTGACCGCATGGGATACAGACGGGTCCTTCCTTTGGCTTCGTGGGCCATTTGGCTGCCTGCTGGTGTCCGTATTTGTGCAGTCCCAGAGGCTTCCTAGTACAGTATCAATAATTCATTGTGTCGGGGGACATGCAGCCAGTGTATTTATACACGTTAGGCTTATATTGAGGGAAAAGGTCGAATTACTGACCTCGCCCAGGTTGCATCCCTACAAAAAGCTGAACAGAAGCATTAGGTGATAGGAAATGTGCCCAACCATTTCTGGGCACTTCTCTCCCTTTGTCACAACCCTTTACCTCTTACTGGGGTTCAGCAGCATGCTGAACTCCAGTTGTGAATATTCTAAACTACATAACCACAACCTCTGTGGTTGTGGCTCTCCACCGGTTCCTCGAAGATTTGAACCTGTGGTGGGCTTATAAGATTAATAGGAGTGAATTAAATGGAGGTCAAAGTAATGGGTAAACAACATTACACAGAAATCACAATAGCGTGATGCATCAAATGAACAAATCCGCTTCACGGCCCTTGTGGATTTGTTCGGGTAAACATGTTTCTTGGATGTGGAAATAAAATTATTTGCACGATAGGGCTCATAAAGGCAGAAAGGGTATAAAGCAGACTAGATCATGTTTGGATTGTTGCCAGGAGATTTTTTTATTGTGGCCGGCCCCATGGAAGGAGTTTGCTTGGGATAGGGGACCACATGGGGTTAGTCAGACAAGAAGCGTACTAGTGGCTTTACAAGAATGTAAATACTGTACTATCCAATGTATTCTCACAAACCCAATGTACCTTCTTGTATATATATAAATAAATAAATAAATAAATAAATAAAAAGAAATTGGGTACAATTTTAGTTATTAATTGATAGTGGAAAGTAAAACAATATTGAAAAATGGCATAGTCCTTATTATTATTGTTCTCGTGAACAGAACAAATTTATCAACTTGATTCTTATTAATTGCAGTCTTCTCTTACTTCTAACCCTAGTTTGAGTGGAGGAGAGTTCTTCAACTTGCTTCGAGGTCTTTAATGGTGGATTCCTATAATGGTTATCCCTGTTGATTCACCAAAAACTATGAAACGTAATTGATTTTACCACAATAACAGGAATTAAACAAGTGACAGCACATAGGCCTGTACGGCGGATTTCTTTCAATTAAGGTTTTCTGCAAGTGTCAGAAAGTATGATATACACAAGAGAATCGGTAATGGCCCTCATCGAGGAAAAGGAGAAACTAGAACAAACGCTGAAAGAACTGTGGGATGTCCTGAAATCAGTAAGTAGAGAATAGTTTCTATACAAGTGCAAAATTTGTTACTGCATTAATTCTTTTATAATCTCATACCTTTCATTATTGGGCTTAATGATAAAATGGTTAATTTTTGGTGATTCTAATTTGTTGAGGTGAACCAACATTTATCACAAACTTTGTTGTATTGCACAGTATTAGATAACCCAGTAGAAATGTTACATGGTTTTCACTAAAGTGTACGAGTTTCTAAACTGTACACTGGAGTACAACTATCGAAACCCTGTCCTTTACTACATGAGCTATAAGAGTAAACTACGGTCTGCTCTGTCATAATCCTTAGTCAGTCATCAAACTGCCACACCTGAGGTAAACACCCTCCTCACAAGGTGTAAGGAGGGTGAGAAGGTCTGTTTACATATTATTAACAAGGTTAATATTTGCAAACAGGAAGAATAATAGCTCCTATAATTACAAAAGGGTTTTTATTTCTAGGTCTTGAAAGTTATTTTGCAAAAGGACTATTATACATGAATATTTGCACCACAGACTAGGTATTACTTAAGACTACTAGTTCTGCAAAACCGAGACTTACATGTTACAATAATTTGAAATCTTCTCACAATTCGAAATGCCAATTTTAGATATTCAAACAGCTCAAGATTCTTACTAGTTAAGTGTGATAAAACAAATACAGCAGGCACTGAATAGTATGACACGAGACATGTGTTCAGGAATGACCCTTAGTACAAGTAAATAAATGTTACACTTGTGTAAAAACTATGGGTGGAGAACTATTGACAATTCCAGTACAGAAAGTGAGGTTTAATTCCACTAATCTTTACTCATAAATCTTAATTTCTCAATTCTAGGACTAATCTGATACACCTAGATTTTCTTCAACTTCATCTTGTATTTAATAAAATGACTGACTTCTAACTAACTAGATAGTTGTTACGGCCTCACTTAGCAGTAACTGGGTTCTTTCTATTCAAAAAGACCCCGGTTACTGTATATTGTAACTGGATAAATAATAAATAAATTGTTTAAATACTTTTTTGGTTAGGTTAAAGAAATATTTTGTTTTGCAGAATAATGTGGGCATGACTGAACCAGTAATTGACAGTGAAGGTTACCCTCGGTCGGACATTGATGTTTACCAAGTACGGCATGCACGGCACCAGATAAAATGTAAGTGGCTAATTGTATTTATTTTGTCATACGCTCTTTAGAAATTACTACAGTATTGCTCTGCCTGACCTAGCTATGAAGTAAAATTTTACATTTAAATAGGTGTAATAAGTAAAATATTTGTCACTAAATATTTATAAATTTATACACATCACTACTGTGTACAGTGCAGCTAAATATTTATGTATGAATATTTACTTGGTAGGGAATTTATTTGTATAAATCTGCAGGTTTGCAGAATGATCACACGGCCCTACTACGGCACATTGAGGAAGGCCTAGCTGTTGTTCTCAGCCCATCCAATGTAGAGGCTATGGATCCCAATGGTGTCAGTGTTTCTCCTCCAACTCCATCTCGTGAACCATTTGCTAGAGTAGATTACATTGCTCTTGGCTCACCAGCAAGTATAGCAGTAAGTCACTTTCAGAATGTATCATAATCCTGTGGGCTTCATGAGGTACCCAGCAAAGATGCAGTGCAAAAGCAGTGTATTTTTAATATTTATACAGCAGTGTAACATTAAAATCGCAAGAATAGTATGGTTACCTTGTGTTTGTTGTGTTGGCAAGACACAACAGTTTATTAGTATGGAGAGAAGTAATAAGCATTGTTACAAGACAGATATACATTTGTGCACAAACTGTGGCCTTGTATAGCTATCAAATATAGTCATATCATAAGTCATAGCTATCTATATTTTCATGAACCAACAATAGCAAACGACATAAGTACTGTATTTCTAGTGGGTGTGGTATTGAAATCTTGGCATGGCATAAAGCCACACGCTATGACCACATGAAGCGACAATGCTACCTGATGTAGCAAGATGCCTTCAGTATACTACGCACATCGCCTAGCCATAACACCATTATTATGCACGTATAATAATAGTTCACGTTGCATGATGCATGTGTACACAAAACCTCGGCCGTGTGCTGTAAATGTCTGCCTCCTGCTGTGACCATTATAACTAGTATAGTGTTCACTGAAATCTGAACCTTATACATAGTTTTTATTACAATCAGGATCATCTATGACACCATCATCACAGAATAATTGCAGTTAATTATTTTATTCATCATTATTAAGTGGTGCTATGGCCCTGACCAGCACAGCTCTGCTGAGAGCTCCAGTTGCATGCATTGGCATTTGTGGGTTGGGTGTCTAAGTTATTTTGGCATAAATGTTTTCTGCCACTGAATTATACAGAGATTTCACAGATGATATTTAGTTTATAATGGTGAAGAGCCAAAAGTTTCTATGTCTGGATAATCCGAGAATCCTAAGAACAGAGATAGAGGTAATGGGAGTGCCACTGTAGTGCTTTCAGAAATATGTAATGTATGTTTTATAATGATGAAAGTGATTGAACTTGGCTTGTCAAGATAAAACTTTTGATGAAATGACATATTGTTTTAATACATGTAGTGATGCTATTTTAGGGAGTTGAAGAGAAGGACTTGGTGACCCAGTTTGGATCCATCACAAGTGACAACTTCCGCAGCATGGCCAACTTGTCCCAGGTTGTGCAGCACTCTGTTAATTCACCCATCCAGGTAAGGGTCTCTATATCCAGCCAAGATAGTCTAATTACAGTACAGTGGTACCTTCGTTTACAAATTTAATCCATTCCCAGAGACAGCTTGTAACCCGAAATAAATTTTCCCATAAGAAATAATGTAAATTTAATTAATCCATTCCACACTGTTATATACTGCAAGTGTAAAAAGCTTCCTCTGAGTTATCCATTCATAAATATGTAAAACATTCATAGCCTCTTAACAAAACAAACTGATTCCCGGTAAATTTTTTACCTATTACCTCTTGTTCATTATTCACATGTAATCCTCGCTATCTCACACACCTACATTGACTTGGCCTTCAGCTCCTACTTTCAAATTTGCTTGAAGAATCTTTTTAATCTCTCGGTGTCCATTAATTCAATTAAACCAAACTGTCTCAAAACCTCGTCAGTCTTGTAATTTATTTAAAAAAATTTTACTCGGCATATGGCCTGTCATGGCCTGGCTCGGTGGCCTTCTCCTTTTCTACTCTGGTGAATGAGGTGGATTCTTCCTGGGGTTGTTTGTTGTCATCCTGGTTTCGTTTTTACACAGCTTGGGCTCTGGTTTCCAAGCCAGATAGCTTGTTTCTCTGGGTCATGGAGATTATTTATCTTCTGGATAACTTTAAGTTTAATGAGTCGTTCTTCTTGCCTCCCCCACATGTAGTTCAACATGTCCCTCCTCGGTACTTAATATCCCAGTCTTGCCTTTCTGTGGTGCAAGCCAGGCAAGTTCTGTGATTGTGGTTACATGCAGGGTCGGTGCACCTGCTCTGCATCTGGCTCGTTTTGAGTTGGGTCTATGCATGTTATGGCACGTATTTTTCAGACGCTCTGCATTGGGTCATTTCCCGAAGTCTTTTTGACCTGTTTTGCTTATGAACACCTCGCCCATTCCTGATTACAGAAGCTTTGTTTACATTTTGTAGGCCTACTTCAGCAGCTGGGTTGAGTTGGGTTTCATTTGTAGGTCTGTTATCCCAGCTCAGGCTTTCATTCTCTCTCCATTAGTGAGGATTGGTATCAAATACCAGGGTAACTTCCATTTCCCTCCTGGAGTCTGCATATGTGAACTACAAACTGATTCGGAGATCATGTTAAGAATGCTTTACTTATACAATGTAACTTAGCTTAACTGTAATCTGCCAAACATTCTGGTTAAGAATTCTATTACAGCAGCAGGAAACAAACAAATTCTGGCCAAAATTGCATCAAGAATATGGCTCTCTAAAATGAAATTTTTTTTTAAACAAAACAATTTAATTAAAAAATACTTTTTCCAAATAACTTTTGTATAAAATTGTTCTGAAACTTGTGTTCTACTATTTGCACTAATAAAAATGTAATGATTTTGGCTTGGAAGTAAGTGATTGTAATTATTGCTGAAAAATAGATAAGATTGTGTGCAGTGAATGGTGTCTAGCATGAATTAATCAGTTAGAGCAGCATTGCACTCTTAATCTTAAATGAAGGTACAGCCTGTGAGACATCTTGCCTATGGTGCAACAGACGTAATTATTAATCTAATGAGAAATTTTGATTTTAAGAGGCTGGGTGTGTATTATTGCTGGCTTACTAACTAACAGTACAATAGTTATGGACTGAAAACAGTCGACTTTAAAGCTGGCCATAACAAAATTCAGGTATAACAAATTAAAATTTTCAGGTTATTGTGATCCGCAATGAGCAAAGCATCACCCTCTCCCTCACTCCTCGTCAGTGGTCTGGTCGTGGTCTTCTTGGGTGCAATATTGTTCCCATCGAGAAATTAGACCGTAAGTTATTAATCCATGTATATTTTAAGTAACAAGTACAGTGGCACCTCGATTAATGAGTTTAATTTGTTCCGGCACCGAGCTCGTCATGTGGGAAAACTCATCTTGCGAAACAACAACAAAAACTGTCATAAAAGGTGTCCGAGAACCAGTGGAAACGCTTGTTAATAGAGGAAAAGCTCGTTAGTAGAGACAAATGTTCTGCGAGTGGCTCGTTCGTTACTCGAAATGCTCGTAGATAGAGCCGCTCGTTAATCGAGGTGCCACTGTAGTACGTTGCAAATACTTTTTCTGGTCCTGTGGACTAGTTACGCTTTCATTTCATTTATTTCTGTAGTAAATTCCTCATTGCTAACCACTAATCTAGGTCAACTTGTTCTCTTTATTACCAACTTAGATTTGTTCAGCTGCATTTTAAATAAATTTTCTCTTGATACCGACCAGAGCAAACTACAGTACTGTACTGATAATTCCACCGATTTCTGTGCCATCATCAGTTACATAGGCCTATCTCATTTTTTCAATGGTCCAATCTTCTCTCAAATCTTTGATCATTAATTAATGTACTATATTTTGTTTTCTGTAATGTTCTTTCTTTTTCACAAATAACTGTCTCTACTTACAGGATGAGAGAATCGTCAGAGGTGTTACCATGCTGGAAGCAATTAACTCCTACAGATTTGACTGCTTTTTGTGTGAGGAATGTCTTTTTTGTTGTAAGGTAAAGGATATACAGTACTCTGTACTTTTGTGGTTACTACAGATAAATTGGATGAATGATGACCAAACCAAACGTCAGAAGGTGGAGAAACGACGATGTTTCGGTCCGTCCTGGACCATTGATAATGGTCCAGTACGGATCGAAGTGTTATCGTTTCTCCATCTTCTAATGTATGGTTTGGTCATCACATCTTCAACCACATTATTGTGACTTGTCTTCTGCATTGTATTGAATCACATCCTGGAAAAGTATATGTTTAGTCGTATTAAAGCATATTTTGCTTTGATACCCATTGTATTATATTGCACATCAGTGGTGTTGTGGTGCTTTTACAATGGATTTATTTTTATGTAAATGGAAGATATCTATAAGCACTTAGAGATAGTCAAAATTTGGCATGGTTGGCAGTAATTGGTTTTTACTGTAACGTCATAAATAATTTGCTTTACTGAATTTCCATTTGTTACCTCTTTGTTGAATTGTATTGCTTGCAGTGAGAAATACAGTAGGGGAATCTCTACTTCCTCAATCTACAACAGCACCTCGGATTGTGAACTTGGCATAACAAAATGAAAGCTTTGAAGCTTTCATCTTGTATCAAAACTGTTTTGAAATACAGTATAGACAAAAGCTTAAGATACTTTCATGTATTCAGTTTAAAATGTTATGACTCATTAAATATTTGATCATTTAAAATAAAACCATAAATCAACCAATATCTGTTTACATCAGCACTGTTTAATATTAAATATTCTTGAAAGCCTTCATCAGTAGTCTGTGCATGTGTGTGTCACATTTTTCTTGCCTATATATATTCAAATACAGGTATTGTATTTCAGTGATTATACTTTTAAAGATTAGTGCTTTAACACAAATCAACTCAAGTAAAGGAAAGATTTGAAAATAAAATAAAATACGTACTGTAGATGCTTGGAGATGTGGATGTAAAATAAGGAGATGATATTTGGATTATAAATTCAGTGCAAGGCTGAATTTTCCATACAAATAAAGATTGTGGTACACAGGCCCAGGAACACATCAAGACGTTACACGACCGAAGATCACATTCACTCCAAATATCTATACCACCTACAGGATACACATGCCTGTGCCACCTCTTGTGGTGGCTTAATCTTTGTCAATCACTCAGATTGTGGTAATTTTAAGCAGATGTTTAATTGTTAATGTTTGAGCTAAAACGTTACATTTTCAAATGTTAAGTGTTTTTTTACCTAATTTGGTGAACTTTGTGAAATATGAATATTGTGAACTTGATATGAATTGTGTGTGTGTTTAGGCATCACCTTGAATGGATCTATTTCAGTCTGCAATTTCACTTCTTGGATAATTACCCTGCATGAGGCTTACTGCACTTAACGGTGCCAATTTGTCAAAGACGTCTGATAACTGTACTAATGGTAACTGCCAGCAGAAGCCCTGTAATTTGAATGAATTGGAATTGTAACACTTGTTACTGTGATGACACAAACATAAAATAGGGTAATTTTAGATATATATATTAGAGGTACTTTAGTTACAGTAGTTGATTGGATAGTGTGATGGCATCATGACAAGTGAGACATATTAGGATAACAGAAATGTCTGGAAAGATGGTGGTTTGTGGCAAGTCTGTAGTGTTGTTGAAACTACCTACTGTGTGACTTCCTATGCTATGATTTTGGCAGCTAAATGTTCCCATCCACCTGACTGTTATAGACCCAGGTTACTCTCAGACTGGTTGATGGGGAACTTGCCTGGTATCTTTTGGATGTTAATGGTTCATGGAATCCCTGGGATAATTTAAATAACTGCTACAGTATTGCTTATGTAGTTGCTTCAATACTCCACCTCCTAAGCAGCAAAAGATATCTGTGGAGAAACATAAATATGTAGTTATCGCTGCCTTGGCCACTGGTGAAGCAGTTTGATCCGGTGCCAAGATACAGGCAGTTTGTAGATGGGCTTGTGTACCAGGCCTTTGTGAGGTGCTCAAGGAGATAAAAGGATGTGGGTGGTGCTTCTTGGGTTACTGGTGGGATAGGTCCTGTGCCAAGATGCAGGCAGCATGCAGATGAGCTCCTGCACCATGAGGCATTGTAGGAGAGAAAGTGATGTGCAGTGCAGTGGTGTCGAGGGCAGGGAGAGGCAGCTAGTTGTACTGGTCAGGGCAATGGGGAAGTCACTAAACTTTATTGCCCTGCTAGTGACAGAGAGGCAAAGGGCATGCTGTAGGTTCTGCATTGCACAAGTGATATACAGTATTTGAGTCTGCAGGACAGATCCAGTGGATGTGGTAGATAAATCTAGTGAAGGAGCAGCTGGAGATGTCCATGGTGAAAGTCACTCTATAACCTGTGTTGCTGTGGCAGCGATGGAGAATTGTCAGGGCAAATTAAAGGTCCTACATGCTCAGGTGCTGATGAAATGTTGGCAAGACAGACTGTAGGTCCCACATTGTGCAGGGTAGCAATATGCAATGGCTGTAGTGGTAGATTATGCTGTTGAAGGAGTAGCTGGAAATGACCATAAGTGGAAGTCATGGCTGTGGCAAAGTCACAGGCAGTGGTCTACACCACAAAGAACCACGGTAGACAGCTGTAGTGGTGGTGGAAGGCCAGTGAGCAGCTATATTATGGTTTATTTGTCTGGGCTCAGTGTTTTGTCCTTCCAGGGGTCATCAATGTAATGCTTGTAACCATGGTGACACAGTTAATTTTATATGTATATTTGATAGTTTAGTTACAGTAGTTGATGTTTGAGTGGTACAACAGCAGCATGACAAGTTAAGTTGTAAGATGCTGATGATGGCAGAGATGGTGATGTCTAAAGACAGTGGTTTGTGTTAAGTCCATAGTGTTGTTGCTGCTGGCTGTTACCTGATGTGTTGTGTTGATTTAGGGGCGCCGACGATCGTGGGATCGGATGCGCCCGTTACCTGATGTGTGATTGCCAATGCTGTGATTTTGGCAGCCTTACTTTTCTGTCCACCTGACAGTCTTAGATCCAGGTTGTTTATAAATTGGTTAATGGGGAAATTTGTCTGGTATTTGGTGAATGTTGCTATTTCATGGGATCCCTGGGATTGAACATGTTGTAGATATTATTTGTAGTACATAGAATTCTTGGGGATAATTTAAGTTGCGGCTACATTATCTGTTGTGTAGTTGCTACAGATTCACCAATTCATATAGTTTTCTATTTACAGGCATTTATACTGGATCAACAGAGGTCTTACCAAAGGATAAAGGGGTAACTCACTCTTGTGGGTATTCTGCATAGATCTCTGAAGAAAAACACACTTTTTATTTACTCGATTGGTGGTGGTTTGTCTTGAAAAGATAGCATGATTGTGGGTTGAGAGAAAAGTGTTTGTAACTGAAGTGTTAGTTACACTGGAACCTGAGGAGTTGAGCTTCATACACAGAGCGGTTACCATCCACACCATGTGCGTGAGGGGGGGTGTAGTAACAATTTCTGATTATCGTACTGTGATGTAAAGCCCGTGGACATGAGCCAAATAGATGCAACATCTGTGAATATGGTATATATATAAATGCCCATGTCTATCCAGAGCAACAATGTGTTACTTCCTGCTGGGAACTTGTCATTGAAGTGACACTAGCAGAACTGTGTTTTTGGAAGGTCTATCCTTACACAGACCTTTCACTCTCATTGAGCTCTGTGACCCCCTTCATCCCACCCTTTCTTTCGCATGTTCCACTATTCCATTGTATTGGTCAGCATCTCTATTTCACTATTATACACCTTTTGTCATTCTACTAACATGTCCATGCCAACTCGGAGTGTATGAAGCACAATGCACAAATTTCATCAATTCTTTCATTCAAACCACATCACTAATATACTAACTTACACATACATACTTAAAATAGCTGTTTTTCAAACTAATTTCTACAGCTTGTATCTTGATTCCTCTGCCACTTCCTATAACCAATATTTTATATATGTTTGGAAGTACAGTAGTATACTATCTTTTGGTCCTTTATTAACTTAATAACATTCCCTCTTTTCATTATACTATACATCTCTCCTACCACTCCTTCCTCATTACTCTCACTTTACCTAACACTGCCCCCAAGTATTTTAAGCTTATTACGTCTTCCAGTATCTCTCGTCTTTTCCTTCAGGTTAAAATCGCTTTATATCGCCACAATAGGAAATGGCAAAAATCCATAGTATCCCTCTCACAAGTCGAGCCTGGCCTCGGACCGGGCTTGGGGAGTAGAAGAACTCCCAGAACCCCATCAACCAGGTAACCTATTCCCTACTCTCAAATACCATAACTCTTACTTTATCCAACATTTACTTTCAAATTTCTACTATTGCATAAACTATCAAACTCATTCATAATCTTTTGCAATTCTTCCTCACTTTTGGCAAAGAATGCTGCATCATCTGCATACAGATATGCTAATTTATCTTGGCCAATAAGACATGCTAGCCTACTTTGGGGCTTTATAAAGATAAATTTGAAATTAGCTTGGAGAAGCACACACGGAAATTTCAAGCATAGGTTGGGTAAAATGGATAAGAGTGGTTGGATGTAAATTGGAGCTGCCTCACGTGGGCCAAAAGGAGTTGAGCAAATTCCTTTCAGTTGCATGGTTTTTAAGTCTTGCACAGCCAAGATGAATGATGGCCAATCTGGTGCCATTTGTATCAAGAGAAGAGTACAAAACATTTACAATCCAGGAGCAGCAGCATTCAACAATGAACTTGCTGGTGATATAATTCTTAATGTAACACTAAAAATGGGTCGTCATGAACTTGGAAAATTATCCCAACACTAAATGAGCCTCCACAATGTGTCGACACATCAGCAGGCTGTAGGATCTTCATATGGACACCTGCACAGATATCAAGCAACAGTTACAGATCATATCAGGTTTGGGATAGATTCTTCTCATCTAGTGCATGTTGTAATTACAGTATTAAACTTAGAACTAAATCGTGGTTGATGAGGAATGACAAAACTGTACCATTTGTAAGTGAATAAAATATTTTAAATAACAAGTTTCTGTACAAATTTATTTTGCTGATATTTGTCAATATTACAGGCTTTCTTAATTTAAACATATTGTAAAGTTGGCACATATCTTCAGCATTCTCTTGTCTAATGGCCAAGAGAATTGGGGAGGGGGATAGGAAAGGTTCCCTCTAATCAGAAACCATTTAACCAAATGTACATTTATCAAAGAGGCCTAGGATATGTTAAATGTTGTAATGGTCACACATTAATATACCGTACTTTTGGTAATAATTTGTTTTATCTTTGTTAATGTTATGTTGATACAGTATATTTTCTGAATGTATTGTGCAGTATTTGATATTTGTCATTACAGTATGTAGCCATCATAGATTTACAGCAACTGTTCTAATTGTTTTTATAAGCCATAATGTTCTCTAATATATTTTTATAAGCACTATCATCAAATTTGCAATTCTCAATGGCATATAAACTTACCTCTTTAGCGTCATTTACACAGATGTTGGCTGTCTCACATTCCTAAAAGCAAACATGAAGGGTGTTGGCTGTGCATTTTCTTACACTATGCATCTATTGACTTAATACAAGATAAAGTACATAATCATAATAAATTTATATACTGTATCTAATAAGAAATTCATTCTTTTTGAGACACCTCTTGCTTAATTCCCTTCAGGCTTCTAGTCCTTCACAACACACCAGGTGTATGTGAAGGACTTCTGTATCTATAGAACCATCTTAAGTTATTACACAATGAAATCACAAGAACAAGATGTGCCTGGAAAGTCCAGGGATAGGGAGTTCCATCCACTCTCATGGTCTCGATATCTTCTCATTCTTCGTTATTGACGCTCTTTAGCATTCTCTTTCGTTTTCCACACTTTGTCGTCTTTTTCATGGAGTGGTGGGGATGTAGCTAACAGTGTGGTGCAGTAGGTGATGCACATATCACTTGATCATTCAGGTTAATGCCAATTCTGGTTGGGTGACTACACTGGCAACCTCACCATTGGCTTGGGAAGCCTTGATAAGTCTTAACAGGCTGCAGGCGATGAGTCACAATAACATGGCTGAAGAATGTTGACCAGACCACACACTAGAAAGTGAAGGGACGACGACGTTTCGGTCCGTCCTGGACCATTCTCAAGTCGATTGTGACAGATTTAACAGGCTTCCTGCCTTTCAGTGGTTTACCATACGTCATTGTCCCCTATTTTTTTTTTCCTCAATACTCATATATACAAGTTGTCAAATTAGCTTCAAAATGTTTCACTACCATAACTCAACCCAATTATGACAAGTTCTAAATTAAACATAGAACCATCTGTATGTATTTTCATCCATGCAATGTCCAAAACTTGAAACCTCTCTATCTTCATCATCAGTTTTGCCTCTGACAGATCTTTCATGGCTACTTCATATTGCAGTACTACTAATTTATTTAAATGCATCATTTGGTACTTCTCTGCCTGTCAAATGTACAGGTTTAGCTTTCAGTATTTTGTGCTGGTAACTAAGATAAATTACAGAGCCTAAATAGCAAACCCAGTTTTAGAAGAACTGGATAGGCATGATGTGGACAAGTATGTGATACTTAAAAGTTTCATCAGTTGAGAAGAAGCTATTTACTAGCACTAATCTTGAATGAAAGCTGTTCATATTCATTAAATAATTGATCTTAGTCATGGTTCATTGTGTTATGAACTTGTGATGCTACAGTAATTTTGTTTTATATTTGCAATGAATACACTTACAGGGTATTTGACTCCTGTAATGGTAATAAAGATCAATTTTACTTTCCTTATACATTCCTGGTATTGTTTACTATAAATAAACCATAAAAATAAAATGGAACTTTCTATTTTATTTTTATTTTCTATTTTAGAACCTTCTATTTATTTTAAGCATTGCACATAAATTCCCTCCAAATTTTAGTTTACTGTATTTTAATCTTAGACGATGCAAATTTGATTGCCAAGCCAACACTGCAAAAGTGACAACTCTGAATACATCTCTACCTTCCATGAAAACATCGTCTACAGCCTAACCTTTATTTTTTACATGACTTAGCGTCTTGGCTGTGATCCTATGGCCGACATTCTTGCATGACTTGTCATCTTGGCAAACATTCTGTAGACAAGTATGGAATCACACGCTTAAAACACATCAATAAATACACTTTGTTATAGTGTTCAAGGCAATTAATTGTATGTGTAGCATATACTGTATATGTTATAGTGTCAGATGTGTCATGTCACACTGCTGTCATATTCCAACCCATCCTCCTGTTTATATAGCAGTGTTTGTAACTATGTGCAACATTACAAAGACTGATGTACTAAGCAATTAGATACAGGTGTAGTAGAATTTTGTACTACAGGGTATTCACTATATAGTCAAAAACATTTAGCTAAAAAGCAAACAAATACTCCTAGGCCTAGTATAGCACAAATTTGTATTATACTACGCCAAAAATATCGTGTATTAGGCCTAGGAAGGTTATCTTGAGATGATTTCGGGGCTTTAGTGTCGCCGCGGCCCGGTCCTTGACCAGGCCTCCACCCCCAGAAAGCAGCCCGTGACAACTGACTAACACCCAGGTACCTATTTTACTGCTAGGTAACAGGGGCATAGGGTGAAAGAAACTCTGCCCATTGTTTCTCGCCGGCGCCTGGGATCGAACCCAGGACCACAGGATCACAAGTCCAGTGTGCTGTCCGCTCGGCCGACCGGCTCCCCACTAGGTTAGGTTAGTTTAGTTTGTCTTTGCAACGTAAATAGAAAATCTTTTTCCGGTTTGTCCAAATTCAATAGTACCAATTTTCTACTTTCTAATTGCATTTTACGTCGGTGAATGTACTACGATTTTCATCGTTACTATAAGTACTACAAAAACGGGAGGATGGGCTGCATATTCATACATACTGTGCTGTCCCTTACAAATTAAAGCAAGTCACATTGTGAAGACCTTAGACTAGCTATCCTTTCCTCTCACCCAACTAAGAGGACTCCTTAGGAGTAGAAAAACAATGGCCAATTCAAAATCTAATTTTTTTGTAGATAATTACAATGGAGTGAAATTGCTTAATACTTGTCATTTGCTAAAAGGACCTGATTACCGGACGGAGAAATGATGGATGACAAATCAATTGGCCCTAAGGGAGCTGATAGTTCAGCTTTTGAAACATGAAATAAAATACTGCATTACTACAAATTTACATTATTGCTAATAGTATATACAAATGCTACAGACCATCCACAGAGCATATGCTGAATATGCAGATTTAAAGCAAGCTTTGTAATTAAAATGGAAGTTTCATTGTCATCAGTTATCTAAACATTTAGGGCTTTGTGCATTTTAATTCCAAGACTGAGGGAGTGGAAAGGGTTCTAAACCTAAGCTGCTGTATTACACTGAAAATTAGTCGCACAACATAAATACATAGTAAGTAGAAATGGACACACATGATTGTACTGTATACATAATACACATTTGATATAGTCTGTAAAGCTGGTCACCTTGAGCTCTCATGATAGCAGGACCTTCAACACTCAAAAGTTATAAGCACCTTTATTGGAAGGTTTCTCTCGATTTATATACACACAGTCTCTGTCAAATTCTTTGCTCGCATTCTCTCATACTCATTTATTCTGTTTCACTCGGTTTCTCACTTTCTCGAACATTATGCATGGCTATAAGCTGTGGCACAGTAGTAACACCATCTTGCAGCAGAGATATGTAGAACTGGGTTTCTGGAAGGACATCTACTGCAATAGCTCCTGCAAAAAAATGGTTTATGATTTTCATTAAGATATATTGCAACAAGCAACTGTTGTGAGGTATTCTGTGGAAGGTGAGTAGTTTGACTTTGGGGGACATCGATACAAGTTTATAAAGTGCATAATGCACAGGCTTCCTGTTCCTGACAAAAATTATATCTTTTTCAAATACAACCCCGTCTTCTGAATTTCAATCTTTCCGATTATCCCAAATATTCGTTTGCCAGTCTGACCCCAGGTATCTCCACCCCCACGCAGGGTGTTCTCATCAACAAAGGTCAAGTGTCCGTTAATCGAGCTGCCAAACTCACTGTTTATGAATGGGAAATGGTTTACACACGATTCAACTGATGACTTTTGAACATCTCTCGAACAGTAATACTTTTTACCCACATACTACAAATACAAATAATCTCCAACAGAACCTGAACACCTAACCTAACCTACACTTAACTCTACATATATTTTATTTATTTATTTGTTTATTTATTGATATTTTTATTTATGTACAAGAAGGTACATTGGGTTTATTAGAGTATAGAGACTTGAAGTTTTACATTCTTGTAAAGCCACTAGCACGCATAGCATTTCCGGCAGATGCTTACTCTAACACATAATTTTAAGAAGGTAATTTCTAGCGAAATTAACAAAATATTTACAGGTACATTGTAAGAAAGTATAAAAATGCATTGTAAGAAAGTATAAAAATGCATTGTAAGAAATAAGATATAATGTTAACTTTAATATAGCGTAACATATAAATATAACATCGATAGATAATATTAATTTATATGTGAGAACAAACTTATTTTTTAATGCCCAATTCAATTCAATTTCTTTCTTTATTATGCACCCCATACCCATCCCGTGAGCGGTGGTGTAAAGGATTACAGAGGCACATAATCGGTTTAGGAACTGAACCCTCTAGTTCGTTTAGCTAAGCCCAATACCTGAAAAATGATAAATGCTATCCTAGGGGTCGGCAACGGCTTTAACGACCCTACAAAAGTTGACCCACGAGCTTATGTAGTTTGGCGACCTGCTCCTCACGACCCACTTTTGTTTTTGTGTTTACCCGCGGCGGACAAAGCCCTTCGTCTCCTTTATATCTGGGAATATATGTTTCATCCTGCCTCTATGGCGTTCGGAAAGACAGGAAATCTGTTGTTCAGGGCTTCAACAAGCGGTGAAGTCAAGAGAAAACATGTTGTGATGAATTTTAAACAATAAGTTCATCTTGAAAAGAAAGTTGAATTCGGAATTCCTTGGAGTGTCGTCTGTGCCAAATTCAAAGTTAGGAAAACCACTCTTCGTGATATACCGAACGCTAAAGAGAATCTTTTGCAAGTTAGGCTAAAAGTGAAAGTTACGTAGCGATGTGCAAGATAAAAGTTTATTATTAATGCTCGTGTTAAAAGTGCTAACGAGGCTGTCTGGGAGTAGCACAGACAGACACTTGACGAATCAAAGAAGCCAGTGCCAAGATGGCTGATTATTATCACAAATGAAGCTTAGTGATTATTGTGTGTGCAGTGATGGATGGCTAAGAGGCTTTACGGTTCAGTCATATGGTATTAGATGTAATTACCTAAGTGTAGTTACAGGATGAGAGCTACGCTCGTGGTGTCCCGTCTTCCCAGCACTCTTTGTCATATAACGCTTTGAAACTACTGACGGTCTTGGCCTCCACCACCCTCACTTAACTTGTTCCAACCGTCTACCACTCAGATGTGTGGAAAGCAATCTGCTGGTACAAAAGGAGCAGATATACGTGATCAATTTTGAGATCGTGCAGGACTATTCTTTTTCCCGTTACAAAAATTTATATTGACTATGAAACAGCTTGTATTGGCGTATGTTAACCTGACTTAACCTAACCCCTCAAGCCACGGCCTCATTATCCACCTCCACCAGTAATTAACACCACCACCCGCGGCCTGGTCGAGGACCGGGCCGCGGGGACACTAAAGCCCCGAAATCATCTCAAGATAACCTCAAGATAACCATAACATCACTCCAAGATTACATACGTGGAGGAACATCAGGACACTTGGTGAGTACCCATATTTATTGTTACATGTTCTGTATTACCAGTATTGTGGTGGTTTGTTTACAGTATGTAGTGCAGCAGTAGTGTATTGTTATGTACTGTTGTACATGTATTATTTTTCGTGCATGTGAGGGAATTCAACCACATATCCGAGAAGTGGGTAGACAACATCTTCCTACACAAGAAACTACTACATATCCGCACACGACTTCATATCTAGTCGCGATTGGAACTGGTGTTCGGAATAAGGGCGACATACTATGTGTAATTGTATAAATTAATGGGTTACCATCTGCGCCACTGATAAGTCTTATGAAAGTACTGCCGGTATACTATTCTGTTTGAATAAGTGGAGCAGGTTAACACTAGGAAGAAACTAACCTCATCTGACTCATCAGGTTCTGGGGCCATGAGTCTTTTGGCAGCTTCATCTGACCTTAGTGGAATTGTGGTGAACTTTGACCCATCAAGGTCAGTGATGTTCACCTGCAAAGAAAAGACTGCAGTGAAAACCGGTATAAGACACTTGGTATACATATACGCGTAAGTGATCAGTTTTCAATCTTTCCCAACCTTCTCCTCTGCCCCTCTCTCTCTCTCCCCCCCCCCTTCTTATTACCTCCCTTCTCTCTATCCTCCCTATCTCCAACCCCCTATCTTTTCACTCCTCACTTACTACTCCTCACCTATTTCCATTCCTCCTTTTTTTCCACTCTGCCCACTCTCCACCCCCCCCCCCTCCCCTTCTTTCTTTTTCCTAGTCCCCTCCCTCTCTCTCTCTCCTCCTCATTTCCCCTCTTTCCTCCCTCCCCTTTCCCCTTGCCCAACTACTTGCGCTGGACGGTAGAGCAACGATCTCGCCTCATGCAGGTCACCGTCCAATCCCCAGTCATCCAAGTGGTTGGGCACCATTCCTTTCCCCCGTCCCATCCTAAATCCTTATCCTGACCCCTTCCAAGTGCTATATACTCGTAATGATTTGGCGCTTTCCCCCTGATAATTCCCTCCCCTCTCCCCCCCCTCTATTCACTCCCCCCTTGTCTATCTCTCCAATTCCCCTTCTTTGTCTCCCTTCTTCCCCCCCCCCCCCCTACTCTCTTTTCCTACCGTTACCCCATTCCCCTCCCTCTCTTACCTCGTGATCAGAGGGGTCCGGTGAGTCTGAGGTCTCTGAGGAAGACGGTGTCAATGGCCTGGAGTCTTCAGGCGCCGCAAGGCCAATATTTATGAGGATCTCACCCAAGACATCCTCGGGCTCGTCCTCGCTCTGTCTCAACATGGAATACACCACTCGTGGGTACCGCCTGTAGCAGGGAGGGAGGCAGGGTTCAAGTTCAAGTATGTTTATTGAGACAAGAAAGAAATACATCTCAAAGGGATAGAGTAGCTTAGGCTATGTCTACCCCCCCCCCCCAAGGGAGGGTCAGTGTATCATTATTTTTTATAAATATACAAGAAGGTACATTGGGTTTGTGAGAATACATAGCATAGTACAGTATTTACTCTCTTGTAAAGCCACTAGTACGCGCAGCGTTTCCGGCAGGTCCTTAATCTAACAGATAATTTTAAGTAGGTAAATTCTATCAGAATTATTTCTGAGGTCGAGCGAAACATGGCATGGGGGAAATTATTTAATACATGAAAATAGTAAACATGACAAGTAACACTTATAAAACAAATAAGCAAGACTTGACATAAATAACTAAAGTATAATAACTTGTAGAGTAAATAAACAAAAGTACATAGTGGGAACTTAGTCGTAATGAATACGGAATAAAGAGGCTATGAAGTAGATTCTAAATTGAAGGTGTACAAAATTCAAGAGTACATTTATGTATTATGTACAAGTACATGGTAGTAAGGTAACAGTAATATGCATCATTATTGCATTTGCTTTTATGAAGTCGCTAATCATGTAGAGATTCGGGCAAATATTAAAGCAATCAATACGGTCATGTGATAAAGGTGAGTTATTAACACGACTTTACTAATATATATGGGAAAGTTCAAGATAATTTCTGTGTTTTATACGAATAGATAAACTGAGTTTAAAATAGGGAGAATTATTTCAGCAATATAACTACAGCATTTTAAAGCTAAAAATAATAGCATACACAGTTGACTTACCTAGGATCTTTTTGTATGGGACACCTGTACTTCACGCTATTTGGTGTGATATTAACACAAATTATTACATATTTTCAATTATAGCCTAACTATTTGGCCACCTACCTGCAGTGTTCTTTCCCCATGGCCACCTTACAGTATCCTGTCTCTTTTAGTACCTTCCTGTAGTAACCTGTCATATCCGTCCACTTCACTATACAGTGGTGGCTTGCCTCTGGCCACCTTCCACCAGTGGGCCTTTCTGGCTAAAGGTGTATCTTATTATGGATAAGGACATAAAACATTAATAATATATGATCTTAATAACAGAAATAATACGAAGAAATGCATATAGTAATCAGAACCGTAATAATTCAACATACTGCCCCAAGCCGGGCTTGGGGAGTAGAACTTCCAGAACCCACTCCAGATATACTTCAGGTATATACTCTAGGTATACACTCCAGGTATATACTCTAGGTATACACTCCAGGTATATACTCTAGGTATACACTCCAGGTATATACTCTAGGTATACACTCCAGGTATATACTCTAGGTATACACTCCAGGTATATACTCTAGGTATACACTCCAGGTATATGTTCCAGGTAATGCAAATGTACAAGGGTCAGAGTCTGAAGTACACTCCTCAAATGAACATAAGTAACATACCTAACCTAATGTACAATGAAATTACAAGAAAGTGATGTATGAACGTGCATCGATCTGTGGGATACGGGTTCGATTCTGTTCTCCAGTCTCAATATTTTCACATCTTACCTAATCTTAATCATGTCCTGACTTCATAAACCCACAACATATAATATATTTAAGAAATCAAAAAGATTTATTACACCGTATGATTGATTCATATGTCAGTTGTCAAAAGATATGTGGAAACTATAACATTATTATAATCATATTTTTAGTTGGCTTAAGAGTAAGACAGAAAATCTGAGAAAGTGGGTTGGCAACGTTAATTATGGGTGACAACAAACACACCCAGTATGGTAACTAAATATATATTTTATATAATTTGGTTGCCGAGGTTGGTGATTAACAGTACGTGATCGCATCAGGCTTGGATACCCATGTGCATGGGAAATAGGCTTACAGGTTCCGGAAGATGAGAGGAAATGTTAGTACTGTGGAGAAATGCCCGACAAACCACTGGAACATTATCTAACACAGTACACAGTTACACCCCCATTAAGATTTCAACTTAGATTACAGTTACACCCCCCATTAAGATTTCAACTTAGATTCAACAGAACAGAAGTTGTTAAACATGTGGGACAAAATCTTACTGAAGCGACCATACGAGTCATAAATACTCATACTCCGCCCAAGTAAAATAAAAACAAGCAACACTTAGTGGGCCAGCCAGAGGCTTAAGGCCCGTGCTGGAATATCCCTGCAAAAAAAAAAAAAAAGTACGTGTTCGTTGTGAGAGGTTGAATCGTAGTGTGGTACTGTTGAATGCTGGAAACAGTAGAGATGATCCCAATGGTTCATTTAGATCCATCCCAATGAACCATCTGGTTAGGCGGTTCGTCGTGTATCTTAAGTGTTGATGTTCTTATGTTCTTTACCACTGTGAAGGTAGACTGCTGCTGCTGTGATTCGGTGGCCTTATATTCCTGTCCACCTGAGTTTCCAGCTCCAGGTTGCTCGTAATTTGGTTGATGGGAAACTGCTTAGCTTCAGTTGGATGTTATTATAATAGGTCGTGGAACTCCTTGGTATGTTGCAGTGGTAAGTTGGGTTGCTGCAGATTATCATTTGTAGTCCTCGGAATTTCTTGAGGACACGTATTGATGTAAGTAATCCATGTGGGATTATTGTAAACGTTTAAGTGTTTACCATAGAATTTCTTGGATTGTGGAGGAGTTGCCATATTATTGCTAATGTGGTTGTTCGGTTGTTACAGATTGACCGCTTTATAGCTAGGTTTCCAATTGCTGTCAGGCTAACAGGAACAAGCCGAGCGAGTGGTGCCCATTGGTATTAATAATGACTAAAATCGTCAGTCAGTATTTGACCATGTTCGAAGCTATGACTCGAAACGTGTGTCGTTCAATTCCAGCCAGTGTTGTAAACACCTTATCTAGCCTTACCTAGATTTAACATAATATTAATTAATATTTTAAGAACAGCAAATAGTTTATTTATTATTAAGCCGCGTGAAAGATTCATCCTGTATTCCTGTCAGTTGGCTGTCTACCACTTGGGCTGGAAGATGAGTTGCTTGCCAGACGAGCGTGTTGTTTAAATTTGATTGGTATTACGTAAATAATTAATACTAAACTGTATTGTTTATGAACAGTGAAGAGACAACAGACTAACCAACAACAGAAACAACCTTCCAAACTGTAAACACTTTCACAAAGGTCCCAGTTCTCATCCTGGGTCCCACGGGCTGGCTCAGACTGGCTTATAACGAATCTGGCTGGTTGTTTGTGACTAGTTTATTTATTATTGCACTCCATGCTCATGCTAAGGGCGGAAGTGGGCCCAATAACCATCTCTCTCTCTCTCTCTCTCTCTCTCTCTCTCTCTCTCTCTCTCTCTCTCTCTCTCTCTCTCTCTCTCTCTCTCTCTCTCTCTCTCTCTCCAGTTTCATGTAACGTCAATTAGCTTAACAGGCTTCCTGTCCCTGACAACAGGTAACAGGAAACCATATTTGATCTCTGTGTTGACGATCACTCCCATGTGCTCTTATTTTGTTTTGCATCTTCTCCCGCATGGCCCTGAAATACGAGTTTCAACCCGCCACAGGCCCGAGTCTCCATGCATCAGGTCCAGTCCTGCAGGCAGGTCTACAGGCTCCTGCCACATCAGCAAGTAGGCTCGCCACACCCGTTCGTCAGGCGTGGCACATTACGCCCGGATTTTTAACCTTTTACCTTTCACGTACCCTTTGAGCATTATTAGGGTCACCAGTGTTCGCCCATAATGATAACTAGACAAATATGCAGAATATCACTGTTGTGTATATCTGTAAATAGCACCAATAAATTAGTAAATACGAAACCCCATTTGATGATGTGTTTACTGAAACACATTTGATGATGTGTTTCAGTAAACATAAGGAATTGAAGATAAAATCACAGAACAATACCACATTCTTTTTTTTTTCTTTTTTTTTTTCTTTTTTGAGATATATACAAGAGTTGTTACATTCTTGTACAGCCACTAGTACGCGTAGCGTTTCGGGCAGGTCCCTGGAATACGATCCCCTGCCACGAAGAATCGTTTTTTCATCCAAGTATACATTTTACTGTTGCGTTAAACAGAGGCTACAGTTAAGGAATTGCGCCCAGTAAATCCTAACCCGGCCAGGATACGAACCCATGACATAGCGCTCGCGGAACGCCAGGCGAGTGTCTTACCACTACACCACGGAGACTGTCAATGACTGTCGTGACTGATGACTGCCACGGAGACATTCATCATCTTGTGTGCAGTATTAATTTCAAGAGGGTTTAAATTTGAAAAATTGAGTAATTTACTATCTTTAAAATATATTTCAGACATAAACTACAGCAAACCTAAATGAAAGCTTTGTAGCTGTTATCTCATAGTTTATTAGAAAATATGACTAATAAGATCTCAACTGGAAAGTTAATGAATGAGATGGCTAGTGTTGATTTTGTTCGGCTAGCCTAGGGAGCTGAGGAACGTTTTGGGTAATGCTCGTCGAAGGTCGGGCTTCCACATTCAGTCGAGATTCTATCTGAAGTTAGATTTCATTCAGTCGAGATTTCATCTGAAGTTAGCTGGAAAACCCAGATTCACACAAATATGTTGTTGACAAGAGTAAAGGAGAGCGAACAGAGTCCTCAGCAGTAGGAGCTTATGACTTGGATATTATATCTTTCACCAGAATGCATCGTACCGTGGTTCGTTGGTTAAGACGTGCGTCTAGAGACACCCAGGACGTTGGTTCGATCCCCCTGGACTGCTCTGAAGATTGTCTCTTTCATCAGAATAATAACACATTCTTTCTCAGTGAGATCAAGAACACTGCAAACGTTCACAAGGTCAATAAATTGTTCTTGAATATCATCAACAATATAAACAATATCTGTATGAAAAGGCTGTCTAGATAGCTTTAAATTTACTTCAGATATATCTTGTTTACTTGCTTAAACCCCTGCCGTACCTCACAACTCCAAGAGGCACCTTTAGAGGTA